TTGTTAGTGGTGCAGATGGTGTGAAATGAAATATGTTATAAGCCAATCAATTTGAATACTGATAAACACTATTTTAATATTGTGGCTGAGAAGACCAGGTGGATGTTTATATTTATTTTTATATGGGGGATGTGAACTAGATTTTTAGTGCCAACTTCTCTACTACACTGTCTATGTAGAAATTTTCAATAAGATCTCTGTCTGTTCATGTCTGCCTCGCTCCAAATTAATTTGTACTCTGGCATATTAGGCCAGACTTTTATTATCACTTGTTTCACGAACCCGCCGAATGAACAGGAGCCGAAAATGAAATAAAAATACAATTTTATTTCAGCGTAATTTCTCGCGCCCGCCGACTTGTAAGCACAAAACGTTGCTAAAAAAATATTATTTTTGTCTTCATTTTTTTACCGCCTGCCGCATGACAAATCCAAGTTGTATTTTCGTAGGAGTAGCATGATCAAAGTACCGAAGTCTCGCGCAAATGAGAAACAAGGTTATACATGGAATAAAATTTTATTTCATTTCTTCTCTTCGATCAATGATCTCACTTACAATGCTTCGAGAATCACACCGATGTAATAAAATAACAGAATTAATTATATTTTTTGTCATGCCCTCCTTAAAAAAATTGCCTCATAAAAACTCGAGAAACAAGGAATAACAAAAGTCTGGCCTTAGGAACACTGCAGCATTAGTTTATAATTCTTTCCTCCACTAGGTAATGTGTCAGTATCTATTAAGCATAAATCAAACCAATGGTGGCGGTCAACATTTGAAAGAAATTACATTAACAAGAGGATCTCAAAGTATGGTAGCAGAAATGATTAGAACTGGTAAGTTCACTATTACTTATACAATGGTTTTGTACAGATTTCTTTAACTTGCTAAGAGTAATTTCAAAAATAGGAGAAAGATTGGAGATAGTGAATAAAAATTTAAATGTTGTAATTATTATACAAAGTGAAGCAATAATGTGATTATAATAAAGAAACTTTATCAGCTTCCAAAATCTATACATTATGATGTAATTATGAATATTAATGTTTTGTAACATTTCCCGCATCATTCCTCGCAGGTGATATAGCAGTGTTTGATTCGCTCTCGTTGAATCTGCTGAGCAATACAATGAATTCATTGGTCAATCTGGAAGCAGTCAAGAAAATCAAAAGGTATTTATCACTATGCAATGGGATTTTTAATTCATTTATTTGTTCATTTGTTTTTTCATTCGCATACATAGTTTTTCCTATCAGCTTTATATTGTTTGTTTTTAATTATTAGAAACAAGGAAATCTTGCTGTTGCCACTGTCTGGTGAAATTTTGAAGATATCTGATAGAATATGTAAGTGATAAATGTAAATGATAACCACGACTAGAAGTCTCTTCTACTTCATTACTTCGTTCAGGAAGTTTTTTGAGAATTTAGGCATAGCAAGTTTTCATGAAAAATCATAATACAAACATAAATTTAATCAAATTTTTAGAATAAAATGATGCTCTCGCGCATGTGTTTATATTACAGCAAGTCTCAGAAGTATTGGGGCAGCCAATTTGCAAACTCGCTAGCGAATTGGCTAACTGCTTGGGTTTTGACTAAACAGTTGGCTTTTGAATCTCGCTGGCGCCGACTCGTGTTCGCGTCCACTCCGGGCGAGTCTATATTGCATTAGGGAACATAGTATGCTTTTACGTAGCATGGTACATGTCTGGATTCCCCTGAATGATTTGCTTTGTGAGGTGTGATAATGTGAAAGTAGTTTCCCTGGTCAGCCTGAGAATGGCCACAGTCAGCTGGCGTACAAGTGATAATATGATAAATGCAATTAATCCACCGATATTTACTTAATTAAATGGGGGTAGCCTTCTTGAACACCAATTGAAACTAAATAAAGAGACAAGTTGAGAAACAGTTGCCTACGAATCGGTGAGAAAATCAATTTTCACATCTAACCGATTCGTTGGGGTAACATTAAACCAACCGCTAATACAATTTGACTACATTCATTGTTTTTGTGTGGGCAATCCCTTGTATACGAACACCTCATTACACGAAAAAAATCGAACACTTTCCCTGGTATATTTGAAAGGGAAATCGCCATCCAACTAAAGTGAGACGATCGTCCCCTACAGTTATATAGATTCACACAGAGTGGGCGTAACCACAAGACGGCGCCAGCGAGATTCGAAAGCCAGTCGTTCAGTCAAAACCAAAGCAGTTAGCCAATTCGCTAGCGAGTTTGCAAATTGGCTGCCTCAATACTTCTGAGACTTGCTGTAATAAAAAAAGACCAGAAACTTTAATGATGGCCTTATCAATGAATTTTGATTTTGGTATGTTAAATAATTTTACTAAAAAAAAAGGACAAAATACAAAACATTTTTTTCGGCCTTATGAAGTCCAGTCTGCCAGTCTTCAGTGTAAACACCTAAATATGTACCAGGAAAATATCTTTCAACTACAATTTCATCGATTTAAGTGAAAAAGAGGAAAATCCAGATATGTGATGATTGCAAGTGTTGGTACTGCAATTTATAACATGCACAACAATAAAGTGGACTAGAATTCTGTTTGTTTTTTTTGAAAATCATTTGTCTTGGTTAATTCAATCATATCTCCTTAGAAACCTCAGAAAGCTTTCTTTCAGGGAGACACTTTTATTAGAAACTGACACGGTGACATTTCATGTTGAGTTAATTAATAATTCCGATTTTTACTTTTGACACAGCTGATTTGGTAGAGGTGCCGCTATTGAGAGCTGTTCATTCAAGACTTCATAGTGTGATACCATCTGAAATGAAGGCTAAGCTTTAAAAAGAATCCAACATGAATCTGAATTGTAAACTATTTTAATTCGAGGATAGAATTTGTGTTGTATATTTGTTGTGTATATGAAACCAAGGGTCAATAAGATAAGGGTATGCAACTGGTGTGACTGCGATGAAGATCCAAATGAACAAGTTTTTGACTTTTTGACAACTGCGATAGTCTCGCTCTTTTCTGTTAATGCGTCAATAGCTGTAATTCTGAACATTTGTTTAAAGCGGGAGGGTCGTCACCTGTGCACGCTTGGGAATTGGTCCAAAGCGATGATAACAATACACGGTAAAAACGCAAAGGCTCATGGGTAGACTCTTGTTTGTAAACAATGACACACTATGGCCGTCTGCCGCATGCGCAGGTGACGACTCCCTCGCTTTAAACATAACCACATAAAGATAACCAAGTCTTAACGAAATATTATTTTCCACACAATTGCATGGGCAAAGTGTCCCTACACATGAAATGTGAAAAACTAAAGGTTGAGTAGTCACCATTTCGTCACAAGATGCACGACACACATTATTATGGGAAACATCACATAAAATAATCAATCAGAATATGCTTTCAGTGTCAATATTTCGGTGATGGTCGTTAAAAACTGGCAGTCATGTTTTTAAAAAATAAAAATCAGCGAAAAAAGTTTAATAATGGCAGTTATTGTCGCTTTAATATTTCAGGCATCCACTGGGTTCTGTGATGCCATTGGTTCAAATAGATTTTTAATTGACACGCACATGTAACTCATGTGAAATGGAATCGTCATAGCTATAAATAGATATTGTAGTTGCAAACCACTCATTGAAAAAAACAAAAAAAAATGCTACACTGCCAGTATCATAGGCTCTTTCATGACATGCACAAAAATAATTGCAATAATCTACCATAATCTCATTTATTGAAAGTGTTGGATTTGTTTTTATCAGTATTGAATATAATATTTATTACAATTTTTCACTAATAATTTGATAAAAGTAAAAAACGTTATCGGCTCGAACAAAATTTTATATTGGTTGTCAATCATGTAATTTAATACGATATTACAATTTATTTTTTCTGATCATTGAATTTTGTTTCTCTTGTCTGAAAACTGGCAATAATTTAATCTTGTGTAAAACCTAAAAATAGTATTAAAGCTGTTTTAAGCTTCCATAACAATTAAGAATGATTTTTATTCTATTTAAGATGTAAAAAAATATATAACACTTGTATTGCATCTGTAATTTAATGCTAGCAAGTAATGGCATTTATTGAGAATTTTTAATTGTAGAACTTAATGAAAATGAAAAAAACACAGGAGGGGGGAGTATGACATGCTGAAAATTCACGAAATGCAATCATTGGTGTTTTTAATACATTGTAAAGAGGGAAATGTTATTTTAAAGCGGGGGAGTCGTCACCTATGCATACGCCAGTAGGCCATGGCGTGTCATTGTTTACAAACAAGCATCTACCTATGAGCCTTTGCGTTTTTAGCGTTTTTATCATTGCTTGGGACTCAATTCCCACGTGTGCGCAGGTGACGACCCTTCCGCTTCAACAACATAAATGTGTATTTACATGTAAATGTTGCAATAAATATTAGTTTATAAGAAAACTTCAAATCTTACTTAATATATTGTTTCAGTTATTTTCATTATACCTTAATTAATAAAAAGACTTCATACACTTATATCTGAAAATACATTAGAATTTGGAAGTAGAGCATTATGAGCATGCAGGGTTTGATAGGTCTTAGATGCATGTTGTGTTTACTTACTGGGTTAGTATATTTGTCTGTTTTTAAGGTTAGCAGGTATATCCCATCATTCTTCTAGTTTCTGCTACACTGCAATGCCCCAAAGTGTGAATTGGTGTGGAGTTATTTTTAACAGCGCTCTCTATTTGTCAGTGTGCTGTTTCATTCACTTTTGAGCCGGAATTATACTTCAAAATACGGAAAGGAAATGTCAACGTGTGTGGATATGCTATGCGTATATGTGTCTAACATTTACGGTGTTGTACGTTATTACGTGTACTGAAATTGCCAGAGTGATTGTCGACGCGAGTTACTGTGCCATCGCGACGGATTCACTGTAGTTTGCGTTAGAGTGAATCTCAAGAGAAACCAGTAGAATGTGAGGGCGCAGTCGCTCGAGCAGACCATTTCGCATATGCTAAATAGGCAAGGTGTCATTTCAGCTTTCATAACGCTTCACCTTAGCGTGGTTTTAGTAAAAGTTGTGGTTGTCAGAAATTTGTGCTATTTTTCGGCCGGCCAAATAACCGATATAAATTAAGTCTAAAGACATTTTTTCTAACTAGTACTTTTTTCATTGTCCATTCGGAATTATACGCAATTTGTAGTACACACTTTTTTCCTTCGTAAAAACTTACAATATGAAAAAAATGGTCGGAATGTTGTTACCTAACTAAGTACTAGTGATATTATGGTTTAATATGCGGCGTGTAAAAAATCAAGTGACCATTATGAAGATTTAACTAATTTGTACCAAGACCTTCGCGAAATGAGGAGGCTTCGGCCAACCCGACTGTTTTGAATTGGCCAATGGGCGTTCAAAATTGTCCATAGTTCAGTATATGCCGTAACCTGTACGAGATCACACTATCTGCAACACCGAATATGCGACAAATTAACTACACATTGAGCTACGCATAATAACAGCAATTTGATTGGTTGAAACCTGCCCAATTTGCGACAGCTGTTGTTGTATAAATTAGTTGAATCACTGCAACACCAATGGTTCCGGTACATAAACCATGACTTAACTATTACATTTAAGGGTTCTCAGTGCGTCCAAACG